ACTGAAGTAAGCCTAGTGAAACCAGACCCAGAACCTGATCCAAACTAAAATAAGAGTCAACTGCTCTGAGCCGTTGGATTGGATCTGCCTAATCTCGAGGTTGAGATATTTAAAGGATTCTAAATGTTTCTGGAATTTATTCGATTCACTCTCTTTTCTCTCGTTTTCTTCTGGAGACTTCTGAGTGTTCTCTGGTTCGTCTTCTGTATAAGGATTTCTCTTGAATCAGTTTCTTGAGTCATTTCTTAGTGAGATCCATGGGTTTGTAAGGCCTTTTAGAGTGGTAGTCTTTAATCCCTCTGTCTCATTGTAGTAGCTTTGTGTTTACGGTTTGACTGTGGTAGTTTCTAGTGGAACTGGGCTTATGGTGTTGTAAGGGGTTTTAGGTTTGATGTTCTGAGCATATACATATGTGATACTTTGATGTTCAGTAGTGATCTTCATAGTTTCATGTATTAGGGTGATTTTGAATGTAATAGGATTTTGAGATCTGCTTTGATCTGTAATCTTTTATCTGTAATTTGTATAACACATGGATTCTTCCTATAATTAGTTCATTATTCCTAATAAATTACTTGCATTTAATGATGTAAAATTATCTATTTTGGTTTGACTTGCTTAACTTGAGACTCCATCAAAGTTGACGATTAGATAAATATTTAGTCGATTTTATAATCTTTTAACTTTGATCATATTATTGAACTTGTCAAATTGTGAATTTGGCTTAAAATTTACCTGAGGTGACTCGTATCTATAGCATGGGATGTTTTTTAAATCTTGTATATTTCTATGCATTCAACTTTTTAACAAATACTTGCTTTCAGAATACCTTATGTTACGGGCCGGCTGAAGCCTTCCACCTCGTCTGCCACATGTTAGCCGAACTGATTGGTATGCCACGTGGGGGGCGAACTGAAACCATGAGGGTGAACTGAAACCACAAGGACGAACGGAGCCCACGAGGACGAACTGAACCCACACAAATAAGCTGAATCACTATCGTCCTTACCTAGTGGAAGCACTGAATTCATCCGTCAGTAACGGCGGATGCAAAGACCCGCACTCCATACTCGACACATCTCACAGTCCGCCTCGCCACCTTTCTATCAAGATCTTTTTTGAGATCTCCATAGTCAAATTTTGGACTGACTGATGGGACGTGTGGCAGGTTACAGACGGTCAACTCAGTTAATATGTGAGAAACCATTTAGTATCCGCCAACCTAGTGATTGATAGATTGACGTCTATGAGGATTTGACTCACCGGCATCTGAAGCCACGTGTCCTCTCATCCAACGGCTCACATCTTCCTTTTCGTAATATAAATACCATCACATTAGTAAGAGTAAGGGGTTCCCATTTTTCTTCTTAAAGCTTTACATAAAAACTTTCAACGTATATTTCACGCCTCGGTGATCACCTCATCGTCGGACATCACTTCCCGATTAATTGAAACACTGTCTTGACCATCGGAGTGCTCGCGGCCGTCTCCACATCCACCGGAAAGTGCCACGAGCGACTAACGGTGTGATACCGTGTGCAGGGAAGAGTTTGTGTTGAATTTCGTTCTGTTGGCCACGTGTCGGGACCATTTTTCGAGGTCAACACTTTAATATATTTTTAGGAATCAAATAATCCACACCAATGCCCTCGAAGTTGAGTTCCATTTAAATTAAGTTCTATAAATAGTAGCTCCGTATCATCTATTATAATAAATAAGTTCGTGCCTAAAAAACACTAGACATTTCACATCAAATTTAGTGCAGGTTAGGCCAATTTTTAAAAAATTTACATGTAAATAGGCATGTTAAACAT